AATATGCCGTAGTTCGAATTACTGGATCCAATCACATGACGCTATTCACAATCACCTCGAAGTAAAAAGTGGCTAACCATTCTGACGGCCACTGTATTGCGAATCTCTGGAATTTTCTCGCAATCTAGCTTGACCTCGGCTAAATCTCGTTTGTATTCACACTCAATTGGTTACGAACCCAACGAACCCAACGAATATCCGCCGCCTTCCCCGCCGCAGACGCCCAACAACACCACATCAAGAACCCCGCAACCCCAAACCACTCACTTAAACGGAGATTATTTCGCACCTTCTCAATGTTGTATGCCGCCTCAGCCAGCGTCCCTCTGACCAGCTCCACCTCACTTCAGCTCTACCTGTTCTCCTTTTGTGAGTATACGGGGCAGTACCTGTTGAGCCATATCGGCGTGAAATATTTGATCCACAAATCATATATCGACTTAAGGCCACGTCATACATAATCTGCCCATTATGCATGTTACATGAGCCTTGCGCAAGTGAAAGCTAGTGGAAGCAACATCGCCCTAGCGCTGCCTAATGCAGAATTTCTAGAAAGCGAACATGCTCGAAGTCTAGCTTTACCCCGGCTTAATCAATCACTTTCCATTAGTGAAAAAAAGTCGGAAGGTATACCGGATATCAAGTCATCGTCGGACTTGGCGTCCGACTTTAAAGTTCATTTTAAAACGTATTCAATACAAACTCGAAGACAGAATTAGACGTTCGAAATTGACATAAGATAGTCGGACAGGAGGTCCTGTCTGGATTGATTGGCAAGTATTGACTCGGAAATGGCAGACGCTTCTCAAGGCGAAGCGCTGTCGTCGATACGTCAGCAAACCACAACGGTACAAGACCTTCGGGACAATCGACTGGCCGACAGTTCGAAGAAGGGCTACCGTAGTGGCATGACCCAAATCATGAAATGGCTCATATCGTCTGGCCGTGAGTTCATGGTCGATGACGATGGCTTGATCAAACTTGACGTCTTTGGCTACACTGATTTTACTGAGTTTGTGCTCTACAAGTACAAAGTTGCAGGCGTGTCCCTCTCCACGCTATCCGGCTACCGCTCCGCGCTGAGAGACTACTACAATAAGCGCAACGTGGTGCCCCCACCTGAGTTTGCAAGCGATGCCACCGTCACCTTTCAAGGCAAATTTTGGCTATCCCAAATGTATTGATATGCTGGTGAAAACGTACCAGGCGGCTGTGTGCAACTGAGACCCAAGCTGGTGCTATCAAGGCCGGTACCAAGCAACCGCTCCGACACCACCATTATCTCGAGCTGTGCAAGGCAAGCATGATGATGGCAGACGCAGGCTTTACACACTTGTTCCTGATTTTGTCGTGGAATTTGATGTGCCGTTCAAGTTCGACGGCGGCCATTCGAATCGATCACTTCACAGCCGAGGGCGATGCGCTTGGGGTCACGTTTTACAAGTCGTAGACTGACCAAGGTGGGACAAAGCGCCGAGACCCCAAACACGTGTACGCCAATCCAAAGATCCCGAGTCTTGCTGCATTCTTGCCATGGCGATGTACTGGGCCTGCAACACCGAGCACGACTCCGGCAAGCTCTTTCCTGGTGCCTCACAGCGAGATCGCTGTGAGGTCGTCTATCTGAGCTCGTCGGTAATGCACTTCCAGCTGTGGCAGAATCCGTCGGCACTCATTCTCTGCGAAAGGGTGCTGCTACCTTTGCTATCGGTGGGAGTACTTCTGGCCCCTCAATCGTGTGTGCATTCGGTGTGGTTGGTCGATTGGAAGCGTTTTTGAGCGCTACGTTCACTACGATGGGGCCGGCGACCAGTACGTTGGCCGCGTTGTTGCAGGGCTTCCACTGGGCAGCGGCGACTTTGCGACTCTCCCACCCCACTTCCTCCCAAGGAGCGAGAGTACCGTCGAAGCTGCATGCATGCTTGTCTTCCCACGGCTCTGGGCGCACCCATCGCTCCGTGGCATATTGAAAATGTGCTTGGCATCCATGGTTTTCCACATGACCTTCCTTGTCAACGCCCTACCCGCCAAGCACCCCTTGTTCGCGTCGAGTTTATTTGGTGACGTCCAAATGGCCGCGCATCTCCGCTCGAAGGTGACCTTGCTTTCAACCACCATGCAGCCGACGGGCATCCCACCTCACGTTGGCCTCCATTTGCAGCTAGAGACGAACTTGGAAGCTATCCGCGCGCTGCCAAACGAAGTTCGGGCAGCATCAAGTTCTGCGAAACCAACTCGATGCTTGCTAGCATACTCACGAAAGCTTTGCCGCAAAACAAGTTTGAAGAACACAAGGTGCGAATTGTTCCATCTCCTCATGCAACAATCAAGAACGTCACGATTCGAGGGGAATGTTGAGCCACATTTGCGTGAAATATTTGATCCACAAATCATGTATCAACTTAACGCCACTTCATACATAATCTGCCCATTATGCATGTTCCATGAGCCTTGCGCAAGTGAAAGCTAATGGAAGCAACATCACCCTAGTGCTGCCTAATGCAGAATTTCCAGAAAGCGAACATGCTCGAAGTCTAGCTTAACTTCGGCTTAATCAATCACTTTCCCATTTACACTCAAATGTACCTTTATTGGAAAAGACTGAAGTGCGATTTTGGATTGGCACTACACTCCAAGTACCACTCTGGTCCAGGAAAAGAGGTCGGTTTGACTTTCGATTGGCGGGATTTTTGTAATATTGCAT